ATGTAACTGTATTTTTCTAGGTCAACTTGGTCAAATATCAGCAATTTCATAATGGGTTCATGGGTAAGTGCCTAAGTAGCAAATAAGTATTGGATAAATCCTCCAGATCTGACTGCAAATTGGACATTTTGGTTAAGATTATTTGAAGAGGGTCAATTTGCAAAGAGACTCATTTTAGAGATATAGTGTATGGGTAGGAGAACCACAAGGCATAGGGCAAGAACCTAAGGCCAGGTAGCAGATATATCATGCAAAACAAATTTTCTTATGAGGTGCAGGGGCCTTTAGTGATGGAAATAGTCATCACAAAGAGATTAAAAAAAAAAAAAACTAAGAATTAGGCCAGGCATGGTGGTGCATTCCTGTAATCTCAGCAACCCAAGAGGCTAAGGCAGGAGGTTTACAAGTTCAAAGCCAGACTCAGACTCAGCAATTTAGCAAGACCCTAAGCAATTTAGCAAGACTCTGCTTCAAAATAAAAATAAAAAGGACTGGGGATGTGATTCAGTGGTTAAGTACACCTGGGTTCAATCCCTGGGAACAAAAGTAAATAAATAAAAATAAATGCAAGAATTAGGTATATAATTATTTATTTTATGTAAATAAACATTTGCTTATACATAGTAATCTCTCAGACTCTGAATACTTAATATCTCAGCCATATGACTGGATGGACTGTCCTACTATAGAGCAAATGCAGTTTTTTCATAGGGTCTGAAGAAATAATAAGTATCATTTGATCCTAATATTTTTACTTCTAAAGTGTAAATGTAGCATTTGTGACATAGGACAAGGATGGACATTTGAGGCCAGGATCAAGAATATTTCATAGGTGATACTGTGACTTCTTACTGTATCATTTCTGGATGTGAAGTTGTCTCAGTAATACTGATACTAAATTTGATCACTTGATTATGATGATGACTGCCAGACTGTTTGTTGTAAGGATATCAGTCACCAGGAATAAGTGAGAGGGTTTGAGCTGGTGGGCAGCTTATTGCTTTGATCATATGGGAGTAAAGAGCAAATAACAGTGAGGGAGAGAATATGTATAGTGTTGTAGTTTTCCCATCTTTTGTGTCAATTATTTTTTTCACAGAGACAGTGTTATAAATGGTTTACAGGCTGGTCTATGAAAGTCTACTCAACAAAAATGTTGCTGAAATAGGGCTCATACATTAGCTGTATGGTTAATTCAGATGAATTATGAGAAATAGACTTGCATTGTTTTGCCTGGACAACTAGATAATCTTTATGGTAGTGTTTTAAAAGAAGAATGTACATTCACTTCTTTGCACAGTTTTGATCACAAGATATTTTAAATTGTGGTATGTCTTTTTATATTCATATGTGGAATCATCTTTTGGTTCTAGTACCTTTGCCATTTGCAATATGCTTTAGTTTATTCTTCCTGTGTTTTTGTTGTTGTCATTGTTGTTATTGGTGTGTGTGTGTGTGTGTGTGTGTGTGAAGCACAGTCTTTCAGTTCCTAAGAAGGTATGAACAACTTGGTCTTTATTTTACTTTAACTCAGCAAATACGGTTAATATGAACAGGTAGAACATATGTAAGTAGGCATGTCTCTAGCCAATACTTCTCTAGATTTATTATAACATTGTAGAAAATATTTAAGACCAGCTCTCTTTCTTAGATGGATTAGGCATATTCTTGTAAAAAAAAGTTTATTTTTTCCTTCAAGTGGTTTCTGTAAAAACATTAGAATGTGTGCTGTTGGACCACACATGTTTCTCATTCTCTCCGAAGCATATAACTGGTATCCTTAGCAAGATAAATCTTTAGTAAGGCCTTTCCACTCATGGGAAAGCCTGGGCTTGGAAAATGAAAGCAGGGGATATTAGGAAATGGTAAGTGATCTGATTTGGCTATGATTTCTGGTATGAAAGCAAAATAGTGGAATTTGCAGCTGTAAAAGTATATTGGCACCAGATTGCAGAAGGCTGTGAATGTCAGGCTAAGGAGTTGGGATTTTATTTGATAAACCGCGAAGAGTTATGAAAGTCTTGGGAGTAGTGCAGAGATATGATTTGCCAGTAATCTAGAATTTTCATTATTTAAAAACATGTTCTCCCCTAGGACATATGCAGTATTAGGGAAAATGTCATCCTTTTAATGAAGTAAATTTCTCTTCTCTTTGGGTTGTCGTCTGAACTGCATCAGCAATTCTGCAGCTGTGCTTTCCCCTACCATAAACACACCAGGGTCCTTGATGTGGTTGAATTAACGCTATTACTGCTGACATCCTGCACTTAATCTCTACGTGGTTAGTGAGCTTGACTAAAAGTGCATGTATTTCAAAGGTTTTCTCACTGTGTTATCAGGAGTTTGGGAAAAAAATAAGGAAAAACCCTCATTTACAAAGCAGTCTTATTTTTATTTAATTATTTTTCCAAAAGCTTTCTAAGGTAGGGTTTTATTATCCCTATTTTACATATAAGGAAATAAGTGACGGAGACAAAACTAACACTGTAGTCATTTGACTCAAATCCTGTGAACTTGCTACTGATCCATCGTTACAACTAGAAAAATGATGAAACCTGCGTAACATACAGATAATGTATTAGTAACATAATTTTATTCTTTAATGGGGGTTTATTATTATCATATTTGATCCAACCAATAGTGACAGATATAAGGTATTTTTAGTGTGCCAATCTCATTAACTTTAAACATGTGACTAAACAATTTTTTCCTCTCAAAGTCATTGATATCTCAGGTGTCTAATATGTAAAATGAAGGTAAAGAATTATATGATCTCTGAAGTCCTTAATAATCCTCAGGTACTATGATTCTTTGATGTTTACCCTAAAATACCTGTGGATGGGCACAAACTACAGCATCTTGGTGCAGTACAGTGACTGAAGAAGAGAGTTCTAATTTGGATTCTAACTTAAACCAACTTCCAGCACTTTGTGCAGCAATTTAGTCCATGTCAGGAGAAAAACATATCGGTAATCAAGTGTAAAAATCATAGAGAAATTGAATGCCTTGCATCTGGGAATTTGGGATCTAATTTTTAGCTTTCCCAATAATTCTCAAATTGATTTAAAAGTTATATTCAGGAACTTTAGCATTCTCATCTGTAAATCCACCAGGAATAGATAATCTCTAAAGCCCTTTTTGGTTTGTGTATGTCTTTAAGAGGATTCTGTGTTCTGTTATGTTCTAGTAATCCAAGAAATGGTTTCCCATTCATTTTGTAGATCTAGTTCCCAGAAATTAAATTAGGCTAACCAAAGTCAAGAACCCCCACAGTGAAAGTCAAGAGATAATAAGAAACAGATTTCCACTGAATCAGTTGAGTTCCTACGACTGCTCCATGGCCTTACGTCAGATGGACCAGAACATTGGTGGGTTTTGCCAGATGTAGGCTGTCATCTGACAAGGTGTCTGCATTTCTCTCTTCAGTGTATTGATTTCAGTTGGTTAACTCTACACTTCAATTCCCTCCTTTATTCCCCCTTCTTATTGAAGCTTCTGTATCATTTTTCATGATCTGTTCAAACAGCCAATCATCCTCTATTACTTAGGTTCCAGTGCCTCTCTGGCTAAAGCTGTCCCTATGACTTTTGGCTGATACATGTTCCAATAATTTGTTATTATCACTAATATTTGAATAATGCATTTGAGTGCAAAAACTACTATTCTAAAAAAACAAACTTCAAATACTTCTAGATATGAAACATTCATCTTGGCAATTTTAATAAGTTATTTGATATTAACACAGCATTCTATGGGATGATTTTAACTGCTAAAGCTACCACTAAAGGTATTACATGGTTGCCTAAGGTCATGCAACTAATAAACTCAAATCATGTCTTCAAACTCTTGAAGCTTAATTTCCCTTTTCCGAGTATATTTATTTTATAATTCAATTATCTCAGAAACCCTGTAAGTTAAGCAAGAGAAACATTACTTAGTTTTATTTTATTTTGTTTTCTGCTTTATTAGAACACTTAGAATAGTAGTGATCATATAGTTAATAATAAAAATGTGTAAGTGAATTGAATTATGTTTATGAATTAAGAAACTTATAGTTCAAATTGACTTTTACTAAGTTACATGATAAAAAAATGATGGTTTAGGTTGAGAACTATTCAATTCAGATGTTTCTACTACCCTGTATGTTCGTTCTCAAGCTCTTTTTCAGCATAAGAACCTTGCTCAGTTCTAGGCATAAATATTTCTGGAATGTATTAACTGTCTCCTAGGACCTTTACTTAACTGGTATCTTGTGGCTTTTACAGCTCTGATGAACTAGATACTGGGAATAATTATTATATACTTATTAAAGTCAACTTTTTGAGTCCAAGTTAAGAATAGGGAAAACCAAGACTTAAAGATATATATAGTACAATAATTTGTTTGATCATCTACCCCATTTCCAAATAAGTAGGTACCACGATTTCTAGTTCTTGGTTCATTATTTAATGCTACACCATCCTTCTTTACCCTCCTCAACAATAGCCATTTCTCTCACCATATCCTCTTTTCCCTGAACTACTCAGGGCTTTAAAAAAATTCTAGTTCTGCCAAACAACATCAAGCTCCTCCTCAAAATGTATAGATATCAGTCACAGTGCCTAGTCTGATTAGGTGGTTAGTAAAATGCATGGTGTTCATAAAGGCTTGCAAAAGGCTTCCAAACTGGAGGAGTAGGAAGTAGCTCAGGGACACTAGAAAGTCAGAAAATTTGGATTCTAATTCAATCTTTGCCTCTACTAGCAATAAGTATGGAGAAATTTGTCTTCCTTTCTGAGTTTGTTGTCCAAGTGTAAAAGCTGATGTATTGATTACTCTTGGCTTTCTATGCAGAGAATCATTGTGACAAATAAGAAGTGCTTGCAATTTTGGTTAAGACATGGGGCTATTTATTGGCTTGGTCTATTACTTGAAATTTCCCTGAATTAAAATGTTTATACATGTAATTGTTTCCTATTAAGAACTGCTATTTTCCTTTTCTTTTCCTTGTATTGTATCAGACTCTCTCCTAAGCATGCCCCAGATATTCCTGATGACAGCACTGACAACATCACTATTTTCACTAGAATCTTGGATCGTCTTCTGGATGGTTATGATAACCGACTGAGACCCGGACTTGGAGGTCAGTTATTCTTTTAAGATTCTCTACTCAGCCCTTTCCATCTAAATGAGTCATAAGGTAACTTCAGTAGTCTATTGATAAAGAAGTTTAGTGTAAAGTTGAATTTTTTCCTTTAGAGCACTGGAAATTAATTCTTTATTCCAATGGATAAACTTTCTAGTTTGGTTTTGGAAAGTTTCTGAATTTTAGGCAAATGTATCTGGAGTATTATACCTCAAATATCTGGAGTATTATACCTCAAAGTTTGACAAAGCCAGTTTCTAGTAAAAAAAAACAATAATAACTACAAAATAATAATCATTGGCTGGATGTCAGGTATGGGCCAGAAACAGCTGGGAAATTTGTTCTCAAATCTGAGCACATGTTGGCCTGGTCTTCCAAAGAGTAGTAATCTACAGGCTAGATGGGATTGCACTTGACCATCAGTTTAGTATAATCAGAAGTATTATTACAATGAAATGAATGCATTATAATATGTCATGGGCTGTGTTAAAATGGCAAGTATGGAAGTGTGTGAATTTAATTTTTTCCAAAATCATTTGAGAATTAGTCACATATATCATTTCCCTTTGTTCCTAAATACTTAAGTGCATATTTCCTTAGAACAATTAAATAATTTTATAAAATACAATTACAATTCAGAAAATGTAACTTAACATAATACTCTTTTCTAATCTGTAGTCCATATTTAAATTTTTCTAATTATCTCCAAAGTGTCTGTTATAGTAATTCTCCTTCATTTAGGATGCAATCCAGGATTATTCATTGCATTTATTGTCATGACTCTTTAACCTATACTCTAATATAGTTGCTCAGCATTTCTTTTCTCTCATAATGTCAATTATATCTTCCTTATTCATTTTTGGAAATAAAACAACAGGAGTTAATTGTGTCATTCTCAATGCATTACTGAAGAAGGAAGCATGATGTCTGTTCGCTTTATTATTGTAATATTAATTTTGATGTCTACCAGGTTACTTCACTCTAAAATTACCATTTTAAGCTTATAATTAATAAGTCATGGGGATATTATTTGACACTATTCTACTCTTCTTCCAACTTGTACCCAATAGTTTTAGCAACTATTGATTATTCTTGCATGAATAACAACAGTTATGGCTGCAAAAGAATGATTTTTCTAAATCCATTTTTCCTCTACATTTATTATATGGCATTCTGTTTGTAAAATTAGTATTTCTTTCCTGTTAATTAATTAGCTAATTGTAAGTATGAATGTATTTTTATTTTATTAAGGGGATTATAAAATATTAGTATCATTATATGTTTTGATTAAAATTTTTCCTTACAATTTTCAATATTTGCCTACTGGGAGCCTGTTCAATCTGCTTTCTGTTTCCTTTTGATACATTCACCTCATTTTGGAACACTTTTAAAGTATATGTCATAACAGTACATTTCAGACTTAATCTTGTACCTTCCATTATTCAGCCTTGTGATCAGTCATTTTTCCAAAAAGAAATAGTATATTTTGTGGGAAATTATATATAGACTTAACTTCTTGCTATAAGGATATCATTGCTTCTAGAACCTTTCAATGGTCATTAATGACAAAATAGAAAACACACACATATACACACACCTATATATGTATATATGTGTGGGTGTTATATGTACATATAAACATCTGTATATATTCATACATATGTATATACATGCGGACACATATACATATATACAAATATTTGCATAAGCATATACATATACATGCTTGTATGTGTAATAAGTTTATATTGATACTATTAATTTCAGTTCAACACAGTATTTTTCACTGATATATTTTCTCAATCCTCTACTATACTCAAAACAGTTCTGGAATTACTACAGTCATGCAGCTACAATGAATACACTTATTAATTAAAGTGAAATATTTTTTCATATTTTTGTTGTTGTTTTTAAAGTAAGGCTATAAGATAGTTGTTTTGATACAAATAATGGACTAAAGTTGAGAAGTACAGGAGGAAGAGACCAGTCATAAATTACATTTTTTCCAGGATGAAGATGATGACTGTGGGAAAAGAGAGAATTTGGTACCTGATTAGAGTCTGGGGGCCAAAGAAAGATTAGAAGGAAAAGATCAAATTCTAATTACTGGCTTCTGTGATTGGGTGGTGCTATTTTTAAAATTGTGTACACTGGACTAGAGAAGAAACAGTGCAGTTTTGTTTTCTTTCTTTTGGAGTTGTGGTTGGAGTGATGAAGGCAGGATCAGGAAATGGAAATTAGTTCAGTTGTGGAATTTGAGTACCTGTGAATAATATAATTGGAAACATTTGCTTCTGGATAAAATGAAATAGGAGGATCAGATTTAACCTCTCATCTTAAATAACAACTGAGAATGAACATATTCCATAATGTTTTTTCAGAAATTGATCAAAGGCAATATAGGATAGTGACTCTTAAGAATGGAAACAAAGTGAACCCTATAATCAGAAAGGCTGGTGGCCTGGACAGTGTTTTCAGGTTATCATGCAGGGAGAAGGAACCCAAATAGTGCCTGGTGGATTCTGTTCATTGATGAGAAAGCATTGAGAAGGTGGGGAGGCCATAGTACATAGAATTTAAAAGAGAGCTGCATGAATGAGAGAGAGAGAGAGAGAGAGAGAGAGAGAGAGAGAGAGAGAGAGA